GTGGTAGTGGCGGGAAATTAGTGCTTTTCTGTTAGATTGTAGATTTGATTACCTGCACCTTAAATTGTTTTTAGAAATGAGCATTTTTGTTTTCGTCAATAACCAGAGAGCAACAGAGGGCACGGATGTTGTATTTTATTCCTGGTTCAGCTTTACTTGGAAGCACAGCTGAAAAGCTGGAGCTAAAGAGATTTTGCTAGTTATTTGTTGAGAATGATCTCAGCAAACCACACAGCCTTTAGGAAAAACATCTGTCTTATCTGTAAACAGGACATTGGACGAGAAACAGTGATTTTTCAACTGTGCCTGACTGTAAGCTCCAGGGAACAGGCATGGTGATAGTTTTTCTTCAAGACTTTGAGGACCTGGGCATTTAACCAATGCTCAAAATCTATGGTTAAATGAGTGACTGAATGTGTGCTCTATGGAGAATCCGTCCTTAGAGCTCCTCCCAGCTAAAGTTGCTTTTATTTTATTTTATACCTTAGTCATAATATAAAGGTTCATTAGAAAAACACTAAAGAATTATTTCAAAGCTGGAAAATAAATGTTTGAACACTCTGACAATACTTTTGTTGCTTTTTTTGCCACTAACAACAGCAGCACAAACAAATCACAAGACCTCTTAATCTTAGCTTTGTTTTCTAATACAATCCTAACTTCCATAATAGAACTGTATAGAAATTGCATTTGGCAGAGAGGGATGAATCTGAGATGATGAGGCAAGGAAAACGATGATAGGACCTGTCAATCAAGAGGGAAGCAGATGTGGAGCATCACCAGGTGCATGGCAAGTTGAGAAGGATGAGAAACGTGCGCCTGAAATGTGTCTGTGGGGAAAGAGGGAAAGGTTCAGGGTTCCACCAAAGCCCTGAAAGCCTGGTTAGAACCTTGCCTTTCCTTGGTGGGGAAGCAAGCCATTTTAGGAAAGCAGAGATAACATGGTCGTATTTATTTTACTGAGAGATCCGTAGCCACACCCTCGGATCCTGAAAGATGTCTGCTACTGTACTGCTTGACCTTGGGTTTAATGGATATCATAAATAATACAAAAATGTTTTAGAGTTCAAAGTATGGCATTCACCTGTTTTTCAGAGTTGATTTTCAGTGCGATGAGAAATGATTTCTTAAATAGTTCATTGCTCTTCCAAGGGAAAATTTATTGCTTCTCTTAATTAAGAATCTAATTTATTAATATGCTAACATGATGAAGGGAGACATAATACACACTGGAGATGAACAGAAGTCACTTTTACCCTGAATCTTCTCCACTGTGGTATAATTTCATTTGCTGGTAAATGTGAGATACCGTTAGAGAATCTACCAAGGAAAATATTGGATGTGACTGTCATGGCAAAATACACTACAATTTGAACCACTGTACTACATGTGAGGGTTATCTTGAATGATATTTTTATTCTGTCACTTAAAACTACATTTTTTTGCCTGAGAAAGTTATGAATTTCTAGGAAAATAATAATATGCTTATAATTCTGATAGCATACACTATGTCAGAAAGATGGTTTCTCTAAGGTTGGAGAGGGAGCTTATCATTGGATATGACTCTGCTTGGTCATTTTGACACTTAGTTTAACTTGTCACTTTATGGCAACTGTACATATATGCCATCAATCAACATAACTAGTGAAAGTAGGGCATGAAAATGGGTGATACATGCCTGTAATTCCAGCATTTAGGAGTCTGAGGCAGGAGGATTGCCATGAGTTTGAGGCCAGCCTGGACTACATAGTAAATTCAAGGTCAGTCATTTTATATATATATATATATATATATATATATATATATATATATATATATATGTGTGTGTGTGTGTGTGTGTGTGTGTGTGTGTGTGTGTGTGTGTGTGGATATATATCTGGTTTCAAAACCCAAAGCAAGACAAATAAAAATAATAAGTGATTATATCTCAAAAATAAACAAAAACATAGTAAGTTTGTATCAAAAGTTAAGTGAAACAAAAAAAGAACTGTACTTAAAATACAGTGAAAGCCATTTTTTAGTAGACAGATTATTCTAAATATTGGAAGATTCCAATTGCAATATGAGTTCAAAAAGAAATAATTAAGATGCCTTAAAATGTTTCCAAAATGAATAAAAACCAATGAAAAATCTGTATAGTAACTAGATAAAAACAGAGCAATTCATTTTTCCCTTGTGCTATTTGATGTAACATGTGCATATGTTTTTAAAATAGTTTATATTTTCAACTTAAAAATATACTAATCTTAGCCTATTTTTGAAGTATGTTCAGATTTATGTTAAAGTACTTCCTTAATTCTCTTTTATCAAACAACATGGAATTCATACAAGGGTGGAAGAAAATGGATTTTGCAGAGAACTATAGGAATATACATACACACAAGTGGTAATAAAGGTTAGCATTTCTTCAGCCCTGGGTATGTGCAGACTATACACGATAACTTAAATTTTTTACCATGAACTTATGATGCCGGTGTTCAATACCCTTATCTGATATTTGATGATTAGAGAGAGTAAGTAAAACACCCTAGACCAATGGTTCTCAACCTGTGGGTTGTGATCCCTTTGGGGCTGCATATCAGATATCCTGAATATAAGATAAATATAAATAAGCACTATGATTCATAACAGTAGCAAAATTATAGTTATGAAGTAGTAATGAAATAATTTTATAGTTGGGGGGTCAACACAATGTGAGGAACTGTATTAAAGGATTGAAGGATTAGGAAGGTTGAGAACCACTGTCCTAGACCATAGAGCTAGTAAATGACTGAGCTGAACCTGGACTTATGTACTCCTGAACCCAGCCTTAGGACTTCATGTTATAAGCTCTAAGTCAAGACTCATAGGTAGCTTGTGATCCTGTGTCCCTGTCATTCTGTTTTCCTTACTGCTCTGTCACTGGCTCTTCAAGTCTGTCTTCCGACCTCACTGTGAGCTCCTCTACAACAAGGATAATGTCTATTTATACATATCTGGGTATTTAACATAATGACACATAGTAGAAGCTGTAGAAGCTAAGTAAGTACCTGTTGAATGATCAGTATTGTCTAAACTCACTAAAGGCTGATATATTGATTATCATCATTGGAAACTGCTAAAATGGGGAGGTACCAATTGCTTTTTAAGCTCCATTGGGGCATTCCTTTCTTCAAAGGGAATTTGAAAGGTACATGAACTGATGACTGTTGTCTGCAGGAATTTGAAAAATTATGAAAAGGAAGCCGATGGAGAGGATTGTGATATGAAATGAAATGTAGTCATAGGAAAGGTAAAGACAAAGAATTCAGTATGTGTACTTTAGTTGCACTGTGTGATAGGTCATTCCTGAAAAGAAGCAGCCAGTATTTACATTTATGGTAAGACAAATAAAAGGAATAGTTGGGATGTTTCAAGCTTTGGGGCAGGGCAGGAATCCAAAGTTAGAACATAATTAAGAAAAGAAAGAAAACCATTCTATATTAAATACTATTAATTATAACCGAGTAGGGGAATCAACTTAGCTTTACCCTTGGAAGATAGAAATCTATAAAAGCAAAACTTTATTAAAATTAGTTTTATCAAGGGGATAGGGGAAAGAGCCATCACGTGTATCTACAAGGTGGATAGTCCTGACTGCTGAGATTCTTTGTTTAGATGTGATGGTAGTCCCACCTCTTGCAGAGATACTGTTGGGAGTTAATCGTTGCTGTGGTGAAGGGAAGCAGTTTTCTTTAGTGGTCTACTTACTGGTAAGCTGCGTGTGCTGCAGTACGTAACCTCTCACCCATACCCATAGAGGCAACCCTAATAACACTCATTGTACCCCAACCTGAAAATTAGAGGGGGGTCTTGTTACAAAGAAGGATTTCAACAAGAAAAGGAGGGGATGAAGGCAACTGCAAGCCATGATCTGTATGTAAAAGAATAAAAACATGCTCTAAAAAGTGATAATATCCATTTTAACATAGGTTTCTAAATGCTGCAATCAATGAAAGCTCCTTACACCTTGTTTTCCAGATTTGCTTCTGCCATTTGTCCTTCCTCTAGGGCACCTTGAACTCGAATTCTGCTACCCTCCAACCCAGAAACTTTTGTAATGAAATTGCATGTGCAAGACTGTCCTGCTTACAGATCTGTCTGGTTGTTTGTGCCTTAAACCCTTTTCTATCCCTGGACATTTTTTTTTTTTATAGAAGGAAAATCTTTCAGACTGAAGAAATACAGAAAGTGGTGTTATATGAGCCTTTAGAATGTTGAGGTGCTGGGCCATTTTTGTTGATTTTATTTTCTTACAGTCAGCTAATATGTATCTACTTCCTGTCTCTGCTAACATATAATATTCATTCTTGATGTAGTTATAAAATAATTCTAAATCATTGTTTGGATTGAAAGGAATGCTAGTATTTTATGTTAACTGACATTGAGGATAATAACTTTTTATTTATTTTAAAAACTTAGGACTTGAGAGTATAGTATAATTATATTATTTGCCTCTTCCTCTCTCCAAACCCTCCCTAGTCAACCCCTAGTCTCTTCCAAATTCATGGTCTCATTTTCTATAATTATTGATATATATATATATATATATATATAGATATATATATATATATAAAATTTTTAAGCACACACATATATTTCTAAATAAATAAATGTAATGTGCTCAGTTTGTATAATGTTACTTGTATGCACATGTTTCCAGGATTGACCATAACTTTTTTGCCAAGGCTCTTCCTTACCTCTCAAGACTTCTATTACAATAGGGAAACATTTTCTCCTCAAGTGTTGACTACATTGTGCTGTGCTGTGACATGGACTGTGTTGTGATGAGATCTGATGCTGTGATGTCTACATGTACATCAGTGCATCTCACTAGACCCCAATTTACTTGAGGACTGGCCAGGTGCCTAGCACCTTGTCTAGTGGACGTAGTATTCAGTAAGCATTTTTGTGAAGTTGTTTTCTTCTGAAATAGACTTTTTATCTTTCCCTTTCACTTATTCATTTCTCACTCTCTTCAGGTCCTCTCCATCTGTCCCAAGGACATGAGAGCCGACATCTGTGTTCATCTGAACAGGAAGGTTTTTAACGAACACCCTGCATTCCGATTGGCCAGCGATGGGTGTCTGCGTGCCTTGGCAGTGGAGTTCCAAACCATTCATTGTGCTCCTGGGGACCTGATTTACCATGCTGGAGAAAGTGTGGATGCCCTCTGCTTTGTGGTGTCGGGGTCCTTGGAAGTTATCCAGGATGACGAAGTGGTGGCTATTTTAGGTACTGTGAACTTTTCCTGATGTAGTAACAAGTGCGTCACAGTCCTGGAGTTTCAGCTTCTCAAGTTTCTAAACAGAAATCCCCTCTGTTTGGTGACTTTAGAAATAGGGTCACTAATGAGATGATGAATTTCAGTGAAAACTGGTCGCTGTTTCAGCAAAGAACATTAGTCTCAGTCACAGCTAACCTGGAACGTAGGGTTGAATTACATTCGTTTAGACAAAAGCTGACCACAGTCTAAGGGGCTTTGTCCACCCTCGTTGGTAAGTGGGAATTTACTTTTGGAACTCTTTTCAGATCAGCAACGCAGGGAGTTGGTCTTGGAGGGCAACAGATCTATCCAGTTCAGCCCCTTCCTTTAGGGAAGAGCCCCCCAAGGCCTGAGAAAGAAGACTTGCCCAACCAGTTAGTAATCAAGTGAGGGCTGAGTACACATCATCCTACACCCTATGGTTCTGCCTCCTCGAGGTGGGTGAATCCTGAAGAAGATGGTGCTGAGGAGGCTAATGAGACTGCCAGGAGTGAGCGCAATGGGAGGAAATTAAATTTAGGTCTATAGAGCCGGTCCCATTCATCTGTTTTCGTTAAGCAGGAAAATCAATTGGTTGACAATAATTTATCCTAAAGATCAGACACTTAGTAGGTAACCCAATAGAGTAACACAAAGGCAGTAACACTCCACGAACTTGACAGAATAAAACAACAACAACAACAACTTCACGCACAGTGACTATAGTGTAAGATGCACATTTTAGTAAACAAACTCGCTGAATCAACTTCTAGATCACTTTCTGCTCCAGTACCTGCAGCAGGTTCATGGAATCCACACAGATAAAAAAGGAAGAAATGAGAGGTCAGACGAACATCACCCCTTGTGTTTCTCTCAAGTAAAATAACTTAGAGTCGCACAATGTCAACTCCATTTTGATCATATTTTTCACGGCTTGTGTCTCATGAAAAATGAGTTCAATCTTTAAACTATTGGATTTTTTATTTTCTGCTACCGAGGTCAAACTACTGTAGCCTGACTGATTTTCACAGGAAAAAAAAACTGACTGGTGGGTTTTAGAAACCACGAAGGCAAAGATGAAAGCCGATGTGGACTCGTGGAATCCAAGGGGAAAACAAAAAACAAAAAACCTGATTTCAAAAAGTACAATTATTTGGAAAATATGGAATTCAGAATGGAGAAGAAATGACCTTTTACAGGAAAGTGGTTTCTATAAAAACAGTAGTAGAAAAATGGATCGGGGCTGCAAAGAATGGAATAGCATTGTTTGCAAACTTTCTTTAACTGTTTGAACATAATATTATGGCTACAGTGAAGTCTCTTGCAGGGATTCTTTTTCTTTAAATATGATTGCAAGGAAATAATAGGGTACTGGGGAATCAGCACTCTGGGGGTACTTGATGCTACCTTTAGCTTTTGTCTGCTGGAGTCTAAAGGAGGCAGAATCTTTCCTAAATCCGCACATCGTTGGAACAGCCCTTTGTGGTAAAATGAAGCATATCCGTACTATGACCACTCTTGTTTGCTTAAGGAGGATGATAAAATAAAACCCCTGAACAGACGCATTCGTCTTTTCCTTAATGACTTTGTCAGGAGGGGATGCTGGGAAAACAGGCATCAAATATTATGGTATGGAAGTGAGTGCTGCGGACTCTACCCTTTATTTGGCTTCATTTACTTCATCCCACTGCACCCTGGTAACTCCTCTAAAGGGCTGGACAAAGCTGTGAGGACAGCGCCTCTGGCTTGGGACTGTTAAAGTGGAGCCATTTGCTCAGTGAGATGGACAAACTGCATTTTCCTCCCATTTGAAAAGGAAATGGCAGCTGGCTTTGCCCACTGACACCCTAAAAATGAACACAGGACCCCCGGGGTCCAGGCCAGTCCCGTCATCTGCCTGGCACATGTGTGTATTTTTGATCTTTCTTCTCCCAGGTCTTGGGATTCAGACGCGGTTTGTATCTAAGTTAATGAGTCAAACTTGGTGGTCACCTCTCTGACAACCTTCTGCCTTTTATATTTTTGTAATGGGACTTTAAGAGAGATGACTTCCGCCAAGAGGCGATTAGGGTACAATTTTTAACATTTAAGACTCCCGCACAATGCTTCAGGCGCGGAGGATGAGGTGGGTGCTAGCTAACTCACCAGTCACATTGGCGTGCGATGACTGTCCCTCCCTTTCTCTCTCCTTTCTTTTTGTTCCTTTTAAATTTTTTATTAACTTACTTTGAAATAATTCCGAGTTGGAAGAAATTTCAAAAAACACCAGGTGGCAAGTAATCTGTAGTCAGTCTTTGCTGTCCTCACCTGCTTTTTCCCAACTCTTCCCCTCCACTTCCCTCCCTCTCCTCCTATCACCCTGGACCCATCCCCTTCTCTCCTCTCCTCTCTTCTCCCCTCCCTGCCCTCCCCCCTCCACTTCTCTTCTCTTCACTCCCTCCCCCTCTCTCCCCTCTTCTCCCCATTCACTTCTCCCTTTCCTTGTAGCTTGATAAGTCAGTGGTCAGATCTTCTATAACTTCCTTCAGCAGCCTTGCTTTCCTTGTTATGGATGGATTTGCTATAGAGAAAGGAAGAGTAGAGAAGAGAGGCCATTTTAAAGTTAATTCAAACCTCTGGATTCGGAAGCAGGTGCATTCTTACTCTTCGGGATCCTGGCTTCTATGCAGTCTCTTGGTAGGGCATAATTCTTTTGTGTGTCCAAAGTGCCAAACAGTTTAATGAGTAAGTTCTGAAGCATTACTAATTAGAGGAAAGATAAAAAAAAATGCAGTCAACAAATACCTTCGTTTTCACACTGGGGGATGGTTTCAGGATTTTTTTTTTTCTAAATAGGGCATATGAATATAATTGCAGTTGATGTCTTTTTCCAAGTTGAATTTCTTTTCAGCTCTTACACCTCCACACATTTTTTTCTGTGACCTTCCCACTTTGTATGAAACACAAAGAATTCCAAATTAAGTTCACGATGCATACATATTTTATATTCGTTAATGTCTTTTTACTTTTTAGTTTCTACTCTATAATTACTTAACGTGAATAGATTTGTTGGTGTGGTGGAAATAGCCAGGTTACTTCTAAATGTCTTGACAAGTATATTGTACCTTTCAGGGACTGTTAAAATAGTAGCTTGCTACCAACAATAGGCCTTGCTCCTGAGATTTAGGTTTTTGTTTTATTCATATTTCTTCTTTTCTCTTGTCTTTATTGATTCTTAGAATCATAGGGTTAGAATCTTAAACTAAGAAAACCTCTGTCTATGGCTTTCAACTTTACTTCAAATTCCCAAGAGAACTGTGAGTTTATATGTAGGGCTTAGTATCCCACGCCTTAGATGAGGGCGTGGGGTGCTCTTGGGGGTCTGGGAGAAGGAGGCATAAGAGAAGAAAGATGAACTAGAAATGAATTTAGAAATATGAGGAAGATGAGCTGGGCCAAGATTTTACTCTACTTGGAATTGGTTCTTTAAGAATCATGTCTTGTAAACATTTGTGCATTTTCAGAGGAAACATAAACTATTGTTTTCAAAATTCAAAATCTGCACCTTAATTCTATTCCAAACAAAAAATCAAATCAAAGATATGAATGAATAATATTTTGCCACTCTGAGAACTGGGAAAATGTGACATTTAGCTGTGGTTATGGTTTTCCCTGTCCCCTTGCTATTAGAAGTCAAGGGCTTCGTACATTAAGCTTCTAGAACTAACCTTCCTTCTTCCTTGCTCTCTCCATATGCCCTTTTTAAAAATGAACTGTGAAATATGTAGATTTGACCTACATATTATGAAGACAAGAGTCAGTATTGTCAACAGATTTGCTCTTTTTTTTCTTGAAGCACATGTTTGCCTCATTTTAAATGATGTTGATATTAACTGTTTAAGCGGTGTTTATGACATCTTTTGTTTAGGGCTCCGAATGTTACCTCAGAGTTCCTTATGTAGCAAATATCATTAGAGATATGCAAGCGTTTGTCTTTCTGGTAGTTTCAAACCCTCTCCACAGCATTCTTTAAACCAAGTTCTTTTTTTGTATTGTGTGTGTGTGTTTGTGTGTACACATGTGTGCATGCATGCATGTGTGTGTCTGTGTCTGTGTACATATGCACTAAAGAGAGAGGATAACCTTGAGTGCTGTTCTTCATGTATCATCCACCTTGGTTTATGAGGCAGCATTTTTCACTGCCCTGAGCTTGCCAAGTAAGTGAGGCTGGCCAGCCACTGGGCCTCATATACCTCCTTGTCTTTACTTTCCAACTCCGGAAAGTGTGTGCCACAAACCTAGCTTTATTTTAGATGAGTTCTGGAGAGTCCACTCAAGTGTTTGCAAGGCAAGTACTTCACCAGCTGAGCTGTCTCCCGGCTTTCTTCTTCAGTTCTCTTAATATTTCTTTACTATCAGTTACTATTATTACTGCTCTTATAGTTTTTGTTCAAAGCTGTCATTGCCCACAATCTGTCCTCAGCTTCAACCTCTAGTTCTGTATACTCTGTTATCATAGCCATGATCTTAGGGCATCATTCATCTCCTTGGGATTTTCGCCATGGCTTTCCAGCCTTGAGGATTCAATGTAACAGCTTGCATGGGTGACGAGGATGCTCAGACCCTGCTCGCTGCCTTTCTTGTTAGCCTGACATGTGTTATGCACTTTCTCTACCATGCTCTTTACTGAATTGTACACACATGCTACAAATAAATATGCAAAAAGGATTCAATTCTAACATACCTGGAAAGCTGTTAGCTTTGATACGTGTCAATGTATTTCTTTCCTTCTTTAAAATATTTCTTCATAGCACTTAGAGTTTATAAATAGTCAAAGTCCATTTAAAAATATAAATTTGAAAAACCTAAAGTTGAATAGTTTTATGAATATGTGTTCATAATAAAGCTTGTAAGCTGACTTCCATGCTTTCTTATAGTGATGCACTGGCTAATAAATGAAGTAAATACCATTCGTGTCCAGTATTTCCTTGTTAACTTCCTGCTATGTTGA